AATAAAAACAGTTTTTATTTTTTTAAACCATTTCAGGTCAATATTATTAGCCCCCTTATGTAATATTTTTATTGTTAAACAATGATTTGCGCAATCATCATAACGTTAACCTAAATTACCTAGTTAAGCCTTGAAATGTCACTTTAAGCTGTATAGAAGTGTCTTTAACAATATCTAGTCAAATATTACTTACTGACATCATGGCAAAGATAAAAGAAATCAGTTATTAGATGATGAGTTATTAAAACTATCATGTTTCCAATTGTGTTGCAAATATCTTCTTTCCATTAATCAGAAATTGCAAAGAAAAATCATACAGGGATGCTAATAATTCAGGAGGGCAAATAATTCTGACTTTAACTGTATATGAATGAACATTTTGCACCTCTTAAAAGACAACAGCATCATTAATCGACTCAAATCAGAACTCTCCAAGCCAATTCATCTCCATTTACAATGGACAAAAAGCATTTAGTAAAATTAGTTAGCGACACACACATACGCGTGACACAAACACACCAGCTGCTCATGTGGGTCAGTGCCGTGTGTTTGTACCCACCTGATGATGGAAAAGCTCTCCATCCAACACAATGACCCCCTGTGGGAGCGGCTGGCCTTACCGTTCCTAATCACGCCGGCCCCTCGGCGATTGTGGCCACTGACTGCGCTAATAAGTGCAAAGTACAGGGGGCTAATACACAACAAAAGGAGAGCACAAAAAACAAGTAGGGGGAGAAAAACAAACTCTTCGGGCAGGCGCATGCACAGTTAATTCAACAATAAGGCCTTAGAGCCGGTAGCCTATTAAAGAGGAGGAGAAAGGGAGGACTGGGAAATAATCCGGTAATGAGGAGCAGAAGATGGCCGCTTGTTCTGCTGGTAGGGTGGCAGGCAAGCCCGTGCATGCATGTTTCAAGAGAATAGATTACTGGACCCCATTGCCCTGTTATAATGACCCTTCTTGTTAGCCTCAGAGATGAAAGCCTCTTCATTATAACTCACAACAACTCACCTTTTGGCTGCATCCCTTTTCTGGGAGACTGAAGATGTTTTGCACCCCTAAACGCATTTTCTTTGGCTGGTGAATCTGTTGGGACGTTGTATGAGGTGCGCTTGGGTCTCACCTGTGTGGGTAAATGTTATAAGAAATGCTTTGGTGCAAAATCATTTCATCAACAGTCATAACAATAATAGAGAATAGCAGTATCGTCTATACAGCAGATTTTTGCTGCTAATTTGTCCAGGACTCCCTGGAAGAAGAGATCTTGCATTTCAATGGGACTATGGTAGAAAAATGGATGGATAGTTGGATGAATGGATAGATTTGATGAATACTTGAAGATGTATTCATTGACTATTAATATTCTTTACTATAAAACTGCTCAAAAAAACAATCAATGAAGTATAGTTTATGGATAGATAGATAGATAGATAGATAGATAGATAGATAGATAGATAGATAGATAGATAGATAGATAGATAGATAGATAGATAGATAGATAGATAGATAGATAGATAGATAGATAGATAGATAGATAGATAATATTTGAAGTGTATATTGACTATTATTATTTTTACTATCGATATCATTATAATATGATACATGGGTTGCAACAACATAGGAATAAAACCATGCTTAAAAGGACAGTTCACCCCCCTAACACACAAAAAAAGGACAATTCTGCCATTCACTCACCCTTCACCCCACTGAACTTATTTCTTCTGTTCAGCAACAAAACTAAATATTCTGAAAAATGTTGGTATAGCAGACACCCATTGACTACCATAGTACATCTTTCCTTCTATGAATGTCGATGGGTGCCAGCAACCAGCACTCTTCATATTATATTTTTTGAAAGCCTTAAGGGACAAAACCAAATGAGGGAGATAGATAGATAGATAGATAGATAGATAGATAGATAGATAGATAGATAGATAGATAGATAGATAGATAGATAGATAGATAGATAGATAGATAGATAGATAGATAGATAGATAGATAGATAGATAGATAGATAGATAGATAGATAGATAGATAGATAGATAGATAGGTGGGTGGGTGGGTGGGTGAATGGGTGGGTGGGTGGATGGATGGATGGATGGATGGATGGAAGGAAGGAAGGAAGGAAGGAAGGAAGGAAGGAAGGAAGGAAGGAAGGAAGGAAGGAAGGAAGGAAGGAAGGAAGGAAGGAAGGAAGGAAAGAAGGATGGAAGGAAGGAAGGAAGGAATGAAGGAAGGATGGATGGAAGGAATGAAGGAAGGAAGGATGGATGGATGGATGCATAGAGAGATAATAGATAGATAGATAGATAGATAGATAGATAGATAGATAGATAGATAGATAGATAGATAGATAGATAGATAGATAGATAGATAGATAGATAGATAGATAGATAGATAGATAGATAGATAGATAGATAGATAGATAGATGAGGTCATTTTAATCTTTGGGTGAACTATCCCTTTAATGTAAAACAAACATGTAAGGATTATTGATAAATAAAGAGTTTTATCATAGGCTTATCATTATCAGTCTTTCCAACAGAAATAGGATTGCTTGTTCTTTTGTTGCTGACGTCACCTATTCAGTCTCTATGGCTGGCTTTTTGGCGCAAATTCATTTGTCACTTGATAATACGGCTAATACTAAACCGATATTTGGCCAAGTGTTGGCTCCATGTGTTACACTGGTAAATTTCACACTTGTAGTGTTATGCATTTACAAACGTGTCCGTTGTATTATTTAGTCTATGTTATGGTAATAATTTTGCATATTGTTGGGCCTGTGCCGTTGATAGTGATATTAATCATTTTTTTGTGTGTGGAAATCTAAGGGAAAAAGCTAGAGGAGATCCACTAATGCGATTAATTATTTTTTAATATTATATATCATCAGTTGTAATAAAGCGTCCACCTGATGCTGCCGTGCTAAGTGTGTTTTTGCGCCATTTAAAGGGCCAGTGCATGAGGCGCAGAGGCTCATCAAAGCCTTCAGCGGTGCTTTCTAATCGGTCGTGTGGAGAGTCAGTTGTGGCAGTGAGACAGGTGAGATGAACTGATAAGAAGAACCTATTTCAGGCTGCTGAGGGGGAGGACGATGTGATTCCTATCAGATGACCGCTGGGATGCTGACAGACGTGTTACTCTAGAATATGGCAAAGCTGAGGGGTGATTAGGTAAAACTTTTGAACACTAACTGCGAGGTATGATTTATGAGAAAAAAATAAATACAAGCGTGCATTTGCTTGATTGCAAAGAGCAATTGCGTTATTATTTACCCCGTTGATTAAAGGCGATATAGGTAAATAAAATGATAGATGAAATTAGATAAAATGAAAACTGCCTCATTTATTTATTAACCTTTTTTGATTTTATTATTTCTATTATTTCTTGTTTGACACAAAAACAGATATTTTGAAGAATGCCGTTTGCTCATCGACTTCCATAATACATTGAAAGCAGTCCCAACATTTTTCAAAATATCTTCTTTTGTGTTCAATAGCCGAAAGAAACTAAAATATGCTTTGGAAAAGTGAGTAAATGATGACAGAATTTAATTGTTTGGGTTTGCTATCTCTTTAATACGCAATGCATTTATTAAAATTACACCCCAATATAGTATAATATTATAAATACTATCTATCTATCTATCTATCTATCTATCTATCTATCTATCTATCTATCTATCTATCTATCTATCTATCTATCTATAAACTATACTTCATTGATTGTTTTTTTTTTTGGAGCAATTTTATAGTAAAAAATATTAATAGTCAATGAATACATCTTCAAGTATTCATCAAATCTAATAATACATGTCTGATGTCTGTCTAGCTATATATATATATATATATATATATATATATATATATATATATATATATATAAATGACTATAACATGATCATGCTTAAAGGGACAGTTCACCCCAAAAAGAAAATTCTGCCATCCATTTTTTTTTCACCCTTAACCCATTTGAACTTCTTTCTTCTGTTCAACACAAAATAAGATATTATGGAAAAAACCGCAATGCATTCTTTTTCTTAATCAAATAAAGGTTGTAGGCTACGTTACTTGCCAAACGCACTTTGGATACCGGAGAAAGCAGACGCATCTTTATATGAGAGTCTTTTGAATCACATTCAATATGTCTCCATAAATGCTTCTTTAAAGATGTTGGCTGCGATCCACGAACCTCAGAAGTGTCTAGCAGTCAGCATGCGAACTAAATAAGACCATATGAGGTGAAAAAAAAATGTATACATATATGAAATATGTATCGCAATTTAATAGTGTAATCCTAATTTAATTCGCATGTTTTTAATGTTATTGCGCGGTCTTTCAGCTAAATAATTCATCGTCAGTGTTGTAATATTTTTAGTTTATCATTAAAATATTTAATTTATTTGTATTATATTTTATTATATAATAGTATTTTTTTAAACTGAATGTGGTTGGTTTGTAGGTTGGATTGACTCATGCCTGATTTTATTGTCTCAGGCAATGTTTTGAAGCGTAAAGCGTTGAATGCATAACCTGAAGTAGTCCATCCCCATCAAATATTGATATGTCTTGGGAGCAGTAAACAGATCTTCAGGAGAGGCCAATATTTCACGCTATAACGCAAACATTTTAGGTAGGGCGCCAGGCGTGTCATTTCAAGCGTTTTAAATAATGAATAATCAAGTTTTCCCTCCGATTATATTCGGCACACAATGGCTTCGAGTGCAAGACAATAGGGTTTATTTGCACTACTTAGTGGGCTACTAAGAAGCGCACGAGCCCCAATTTTCACAGAGTACAGTATACAAACATGGATGACCAGCAGAAGTGAATACACTGTGGCGTGCGAGCCTCCTTGATTACACTAATTAAGTTCTGTCTAATTAAATTACCGTCACGTGTTAACCAATAGCAAAAGTTGATTCATTAAGCATGCAGACCGAGCACTGAAAAGCAGAGCCTTTCCTGATTGCAGGCTAGTGTCAATTGGCTAATTTGCTGTCTTGCACAAAGTAGCTCGAACCGCAGGAAGGCGTTAGTTTTCTCTCGCGCTCGCGTTAATTGCTATTTGTCATCGAGAGATGCAGCTCGAGCGTTGCATCTCGCCAGCTCTCGCGCGCTCCAAGAAATGTATGATTGTGGGCAGTGGCTACCCAAACGCACAAGCGTCTGAGCTCGCCTTGCAGGACTACCCTATTATATCAATCGGCGACAACCTGGAGAGAAGTTCACCTCTGAAAAAAAACTCCGCTGGGATGACGAATCAGTCAGAGGCAGACAATTTCGCCGACTCGAAGGACTCATCAGGGGACGTCCAGCGAGGCAAACTCTCTCCTGATCTTGACGGAGTCGCCGACAGTCGTCACACTTTCGATGGATCTGCAGGAGAAAGGTATCTCCTGTCTCAGTCCAGTCAAGTTCAGCCGAGTCCTACCACCATGTTTCCCTACCCGAGTCAGCATGGACCGACGCACCCGGCTTTCTCCATCGCCAGCCCGAGCCGCTACATGGCGCACCACCCGGTCATCACGAACGGAGCCTACAACAGCCTATTGAGCAACTCTTCTCCGCAAGGTTACGCGACCGCCGGGTACCCGTACGCGCAACAGTATGGACACGCGTACCAGGGCACGGCTTTCTACCAGTTTTCCTCCGCGCAAGCAGGACTCGTGCCCGGCAAAGCGCAGGTTTACCTCTGCAACAGGGCCCTGTGGCTTAAATTCCACAGGCATCAAACGGAGATGATTATTACCAAGCAGGGACGGTAGGTGTTTTTGCTGTTACGGTTATAAATGAGTGTTTGCCAAACTATTGTTTCCACAAATGGATGTTTTCGTTTGGCGAATATCAATAGGGACATATTAAGACACATATAAAACATATATCTTTTTCTTCCGACAAATACAAAGCTGTTTTTTTATTTTTTTTATTTCAGTTTTCATTTTCCGGGAACAAAATATTAACGATTTAATAAAAATAAATTAAATGAACGTTTTCATAATAATAATAATAGTAATAATAATAATAATAATAATAATAATAATTATTATTATTATTATTATCATTATTTATTGTTCTTATTGGTTAATTTAATTTTCTTTATTCATTTTATTTTGGAAGGACACACTTTTTACTTCTTCAAAATACCTAAACACCCAATACCTATATATTTAAATTCGTTTGCATTACTTTCATTCTTCTTCATTAATTCAAAGGCATTCACATATTTATTTATATATATATAAAGAATTTAAGGTTGTTGCAAGCAGCACTGGAGTGTTATGCATTGAAACTTTACATTTTATTTTCCATCAGACGAATGTTCCCGTTTTTGAGTTTCAATATATCTGGTCTCGACCCAACGGCGCATTACAATATCTTTGTGGACGTGATTCTTGCTGATCCGAATCACTGGCGCTTTCAAGGAGGAAAATGGGTCCCGTGCGGCAAAGCGGATACGAATGTAACAGGTGAACAAAATATGCTTTTTGTTTCATAGTTTATCTAATAATTAACTATTATTATTATTTTTTTTATTTGTATTATTATTATTTCACATTAATCATAGTAATTATTTTGATGATTATAATAATACTAACAACAATCTGTTTAAATAACATTAATTGTACAAGACGCATATGAGTTTTGGTTTATTTATTTAGCTATTTAATTTTATTTTTTATGTGTGTTGTCCTGCCTCAGCACTGACATTCCATTTCTAATATTTATGAACAGGGAACAGAGTGTACATGCACCCGGATTCGCCAAACACCGGCGCGCACTGGATGCGTCAAGAGATTTCCTTTGGAAAACTTAAGCTAACCAACAATAAAGGAGCAACCAACAACACAGGACAGGTCAGTTATTAATCGATGGATTTGCTTTTTATTTAAATAATTGTAATTGCATTATACTTTGTCATTAATTCGGGCTGCGTTTTAACTGACAATATTGCGCATTTGCAGTAAGAATATTCCATTATTTGGGTTTGGAAAGCATTTTACAGACCTTACTTATTAAACGTATGTAAATAAAAGCAACTGTTCAAAATAATCAGTACAATTAAACGAAATAATATCTTTATTATTAATGTAAATCTATATTAGGAAAAGGTAAACAAAAACTTGATGTTTATTAAACGTTGCATTCGTTTTTGTACGCATGACATGTACCAGCTTAAATTATTTAACATATTAAATCTAATCCAGTTAATTTGTTGCTATGAATTATTGGTTTACATTTATGCGCTTCAAATCGTGAAGGAGCTAATTTGCTTCAATGTGTTTGAATGGAAGCACGCGAGCGTAAAGACGCGTGAAGGGATGTTTTCTGACTCTCGTTTTTTCGCTTGAATTCCTGCAGATGGTCGTCCTGCAGTCGCTGCATAAATACCAGCCTCGACTGCATGTGGTGCAGGTGAACGAGGACGGAACGGAGGACACGAGCCAACCCGGGCGCGTGCAGACCTTCACTTTCCCCGAGACGCAGTTCATTGCTGTCACCGCATATCAAAACACTGATGTAAGAGAAAGAGAATTGTGTTGATAATTCGGTTGATTTGTGGAATATTAAAGTGTTTTTAATGGTTTGAATTGTGTTGTTTACAGATCACGCAGCTAAAAATCGACCACAACCCATTCGCGAAAGGATTCCGTGACAATTATGACACGTAAGTTTTGATTTTATCTTGTTGAAATTACATTTAGATGCTTTCTAATTTGTCTGAACAAACATTATTAGCCTAAATAAATAAATCAAATATTTAATATTACCGACTTGAGTGAAACTAATAGGTTCGGATGAAATTAATAGTTTTTTGGGGCTTAACCTTAATAGATATCCTGCATTTGTGGATGATAATTTATTTGTCCTGCTGAATATTTTGGCAAAACGTAATTATTCTATGAAGAATAATAATGCGCGTGCATTTAATTTGGTAATCAGCGCGTCTGGTTTTCATAAGTCTGTCAAATGACAGAGAAATGAATTTATTGACAGAAATCCCATTGGCCAGTGTATTAATAACCATTTGTGCGTTGTTTGTGATTTGGCATGGGTTTGGATATCTTAATTTTCCTTCCCGGGATCTCATTGTTGAAACATTCAATGACCGTCTATTCTTCTTCTTCTTCTTCTTCTTCTTCTAATAATAATAATAATAATAATAATAATAATAATAATAATAATAATAATAGGACAATGAGGTGGCAATAATAATAATAATAATAATAATAATAATAATAATAATTATTATTATTATTATTATTATTATTATTATTAGGACAATGTGCTGGTAATAATAATAATAATAATAATAATAATAATAATTATTATTATTATTATCATCATTATTATCCCAATTATTATTATTATTGTATTATCATTGTTGTTCTTGTTGTTGCATTATTGTAATTATTAGTTTTGGGTGAAACAACATAGTTATGTTTGATATTTTAATATAACACTCATTTGTGCAATAAGCATATGGATTGTCCGTGTGCGGTGCTAATTTGTTCATTTGCGCAATTACGCGCAGAATATAAAATATTTTGTTCTCCCGCGCGTTTGCGACACTTTATTTACGGTCAGCCACGCATCTCATATGCGAGATTAACGTGTGTTTGTCCACCATCTTTCTCCAGTGTCTACACAGGCTGCGACATCGATCGGTTGACGCCGTCCCCGGGTGACTCTCCGCGCTCTCAGATCATGCCTAGCGCAAGATATGCCATGACTGGTTCTTTCCTGCAGGACCAATTTGTCAGCTCGTATGCCAAGTCCCGCTTTCACCCTGGCGTCGGAGGCGCTCCTGGCACGGACCGCAGCGTCCCACTTAGTAACAGCTTGCTCTCCCCGCAACAAACCGAGGAGACCACGGTGGCCTCCCCGCAGCGATGGTTTGTCACCCCTGCCAACAACCGACTGGACTTTGCCGCCTCGGCATACGATGCTGCTGCGGCTGCTGATTTCGCCGGTAACGCGGCCACCCTTCTGTCGTACGCAGCTGCCGGAGTTAAAGCGCTGCCCCTGCCCGGTGCGGGATGCTCCAACAGACCTCTGGGGTATTACGGCGAGCCGCCGGGGTGGGGCACCCGCACACCACCGCAATATTGCAGTAAATCCAGCTCTGTTCTGTCTTGCTGGCCGTCCAACTCCGTAGGGAGCAGAACGACCGCCTCAAGCTACCTGGTCCCGGGACTAGAGGACGGAGACCCCATTGCGCCCGAGAGGTCACCGCTAGGCGGGGCGGATGAGTCCAAACCTAAAGACCTGTCTGAATCCAGCTGGATAGAAACCCCGTCCTCAATTAAGTCGATCGATTCGAGCGATTCTGGGATTTTTGAGCAAGCCAAGCGGAGGAGGATTTCGCCATCTGCCACGCCGGTTTCCGAGACGTCGTCTCCATTAAAATCTGAAATGTTGACGCCGAGGGAATGCGAGAAAAACTGCTCCAAGGACATCGGCTACTACAGCTTTTACCCCCACAGTTAGAAAACTCGGACCGACTAATGCATGGCTTGTGTGTTCAAGGATTCACAAAAGTGACTTATAATCTATTTATGTCCTGCTATTTATTTATTTGTTTATTTATTTGCTCTTATATCCGGTCGCGTCGTTCTAAGGACGCCACGCGTCGAGTTTTAACGGAAAAAAACGGACACTTGATCAAATATGTACGCGGTTTTCGTAACCAAATGACATTTTAAGGTTTTAACTGTCAAACCTATTGTAAGTATGAAAGTACTGTACATAATTGTATTTATCTATTCATTTGTGATTCTTCTCGTTGAATGTTGATGTATAATATAGAAAACCTAATTAGGTTTATGTTAAATGTACTTAGAAAACGTACTTACGTTCGTTAGTTCGAATAGCTACATATATTAAATATTTTGATGTCTGAAAAAATAAGGATACATCTCGTATAGGTTCCAGTTGTGATGACAAAAACGATACGACTGAATTGGAAGTAGCTGCTAATCCGTTGAAAAGCCCGCCAAAAAGAGTTCCTCTGACAGGAAAAATGGCGGACGCATGTCTGTCAGAGGTTGATTTTATGTGAGCTTATATTGATGTTGCTTTTAGAGTCGCGTCGTTTGTTCGTAAATATCATAGTCCGTAGTTTCATTTTGTGAACCTTGTTGAAATGTTTTTAACCACACCAGCGTAAAATCATTTATCCCATTACCTTTTTTTTGTAGAGATAAAAACATAGACAACCATTCCACGTATTAACAACCCAGGCATTTCATTTGTATTTCATGGGTTGTTTTCTCATGAGGAAAATCGCGAGTTAGGCCTGCTAATGTGTAAAGCTAATGTAATTTGTGGTGTGCTTACTTGCAATAAATGTGACAGAATGTGAAACCCCGGGCAAAGTACACAAGCTTCAAGCTAAGCTGATTTCAAAACCAAATATTTGTACCATTTTCTCTACCTGTTCTTGAGGTATATTGAAACGCCAGTCACAATGTGAATTCCGTTTCCTGTTCGATGCATTTTCATAATAAAATGTAGTCATGCAATGCAACAATTAAGATAATCGCCCAGAACAAACTCTTTGGTAGTTCTCTACAATTTATAGATGGATTTTTTACTGCAATTTATAGAAGCCCAAAAGGTAAACAGTAGTGTTAATAACAAAATAACAGACCAGATACATTTAGATAATGAGATTTAAGTGAATATATATGGGCACATTTTGGTTGTCAAATATAGGCGGTGTGAGCATTACACCTGTGATTTTATATGGTCCATTTCAGGGCAAATTTAATTGGATTTTAAACCCATTCATGACCTGGATTTTAAAAAAACAGACCAATGTTTATGTTTTTAAGGCCTTTTGAATTAGGGTTTAGATATTGTAGTGACCTGATTCATTAAAACTCTGCTGTAAACACCTTCATAAGCAATTTTGAATGCATCCACAATAAACCCCACCACCGCTTGGGTAATATTAATTACAGAAAGTTAAAGGCAGTTCAGTTAATTTGTTAGTATGGTTGATATTTTAATGTAGTGCAATTACATTGTTTTAGGTTTGACTTGCATCTAGATATTATTATTGCACAATCTAAAACATGACAATATTTTATCAATCATGATAAGAGGTCAATATGATAAACATTTCTGTTTTTTTTTTTTTCAGTTATTTAAGCTCGTTTACATCCACATGCAACCTTCATATGTATGTAAATGAGCGGTATGCTATTATTAAACAGGCAGACTGAATCAACTGAGACCATTTACAATTTCTATTTTTTTCACAGTGTCTGAAGGTTGAATAGATTCATAAAAAATCCATTACATCTGTGACTCTTAATCTTGGTCCTGGAGTTTTGCACATTATCTGAGGCTTCCTTTACTGAATATTAAATATCATGCTGTCAGAAAAGCCACACATTTTAGTCTTAGGATTGAGATCCTTTGTATTTTGATCTTATTAAATATTCTTACAGTAACTCCAAGACCTGAACTGTCTGATCATACACACTGAGCAGTCATTGAGTAAATTGCATCAAGCTACTCTTGCCTTTTTTATTTGATCTGGCATGCAGAAATAGTCAGTAGTGCGGCAGTCTCATTTTCTCATTTCAGATATTTTTATCTTTTTATATATATATAGTAGTCAACATTTGTAATGCATCAAAACCTTTCATCAAAGTTGTCCTAAATCTATTGATCAACACCCATTTTTTTCGTTGGATGATTTTAAAAATCTTTTGATCCACTTCAAATGTTGACTGCTGTATATTTATATATTTCTGATGGTTTGCTGCCTCCCTGTGGTTCATTGATAGGCTCTAAAAGTACAAAAGGCAGTCTTATAAATGCGATATTTTAGATTTCTTGTATATAATTATGAGATTGGCATACCGATATTTATTTTATCTTATTTATGTATAATAAAAAAGACGTCAGAGGAAAAAAGTCGGGATGGTCAATGAATCACATTAGACCTGTAAACGCCTGACACTGCATTGCAAGCTTGGGAACACTAGATGGCGACAGCGTCGTAGTGATGAAATCCAATAGTCTTTTAGCATTCATTTTTGCAAGATTTTTGTGTATTTTCACAGCAAAGCAATGGCATATTGAAAAAAAAGTTGAAATTTTATACCGCAAAATAAATAAAGATAAATAAAAATGTCCCTGTAAAATCTTGGAAGGACTGACCATTATAATAATTGTACGCTCTTCATTCAATCATTATTTTTTCTTCTGCATACTCTCTTATTTATTAGGGATCACCACAGGGGAATGAACCACCAACTATTCTGGTATATGTTTTACACTGCGAATGCCCTCCAACCACAACCCAGTACTGGGAAACTCCCATACACTCTCACATTCACACATACAGTCATACACTATGACCATTTTAGTTAATCCAATGTGCCTATAGCGCATGAAAACACGACAGTGGGGGAAACCGGAGCACCCAGAGGAAACCCACGCCAACACGGGGAGAACATGCAAACTCCACACATAAATGCCTACTTGCCCAGCCGAGACTTGAACCAGTGACCTTCTTACTGTGAGGTGACAGTGCTAACCACTGAGCCACCGTGCCACCCATGCGCTATGCATATCGTACATTAATATTTTTCAATATAAGAATATTTTAATAGCTGAATCATGTGAAATATATGTCATTATGCAGTGCCAAATTTACAGCAGACCAAAAAGCATTCGGACAATTAGAACTTATTAACAGTTTACAGCATTTGATTAAATAAGCCAAATAAGTGGCATTAAAAAAGTCAGTAAAGTGGTAAAGTATTTGAGATTTGTATCTGCTAAGATAATGCAATCCAGACTTGTTAAATACTATGCTAGATAAAATATTTTACAAATACAATCTGCGTATGTAAATCAGCTACTGCTAATTTCAGAATTGAATTAAATGTTTGACTTAACTTGTCCGTCTTAAATTACTTTAAAGATGGGTCAAAAGTTTTTAATTTCAGGTGAACAAATAAGTTGACTTGTAGCTCATAATATGGAACCACTGATTGTAACACAGTCATTGTAATAAACATAACATTGGGTGAATAAGTCACATAAATATGCAACATCTTGTGATTTAGATCAGATATAGGGGAGAGCAGGGGTAACACATTTTGGTTTTGGCCAAATAATAAACAAAGTAATGGGGTTAGAGCAGGGGTGTCCAAACTCGGTCCTGGAGGGCCGGTGTCCTGGAGAGTTTACCTCCAACTTGCTTCAACACACCTGCCAGGAAGTTTCTAGTATATCTAGTGAAAGCTTGATTAGATGGTTTAGCTGTGTTTGATTAGGGTTGGAGCTAAACTCTCCAGGACACCGGCCCTCCAAGACCGAGTTTGGACACCCCTGGGTTAGACAAACCCTATTTTTTTTACCAACAAAACACAAGGCTCTTCTAAAAATGAGCACTGAAATTATGATACTTTCTTTGCAGTATTGCCAAAAGTGCCAGGAGTAAAAATATTTACCCCACCTATAAGGCAAGTTGCAGACAGAGGGTTAGTTGTAACACATGCTTTTAAAGTCAGATTTCACACAATTAATTTAATTTCAGTTTACTTTTAATATTAGCCATAATCCCACAACATTTAGCTTAATTTATGTTTTATTCTACACAGCACCGTATGTTTATTTATTTATTTATTTATTGGATAACCACATTTGAATTTATTAGCATTATTATCCATTATTATACAATGCGTTTATTTGCATTATTAGCAATAAAATATTTTTTATATATAAACATTCATTCATTCATATTCTTTTTGGCTTAGACCCTTTATTAATCTGGGGTCGCCCCAGCGGAATGAACCGCCAACTTGTCCAGCATATATTTTACGCAGCGGATGCCCTTCCAACTGCAACCCATCTGTGGGAAACCTCCACACACACATTCATTCACACTCATACACTATGGACAATTTAGCCTACCCAATTCACCTGTACCGCATGTCTTTGGACTGTGGGGGAAACCGGAGCAACCGGAGGAAACCCACGCGAACGCAGGGAGAACATGCGAATTCCACAAAGAAACGCCAACTGACCCAGCTGAGGCTCGAACCAGCGACCTTCTTGCTGTGAGGTGAGAGCACTACCTATTGCGCCACTGCATTGCCTCAATAAAAATATTTTCTATTAAAAAGATTTTAATATAAAAAGTTCCCAACATTACACTCAAAATTCAAAAATTATTTTTTTTCATTTAATTTGTGACCAACAGTGTGTGGCCTTATTGTAACACCCTGTCACAACTAACCCCGCTGTGTTGCGTTTTCCCCAAAACTGGCTGAAAGTCACTGTGTTTTTTACATCTTTTAAAATAGCTCCATCTTTTAGCCTAGAAGACGGTTAATACAACAATATAAGAATTTACATACTTTCCGATTTCTATAAAATTAAAAATATTGACTACACTGAAAAAAAATATTCAAAGATGATTCCTTGAATTTACTTAAGTTATGGGGTTGTAAACAATTTGTTTATGTTGAATTTAAACAAATAAATTAAGTTGAACATTATTAAATTTAGTTTGTTTCAAGAGTTCGCCCTTAGCTGATGATTGATTATGAAGCTAGTTTGGCATGCTGTCCCGGGAGAGAGCCCTGAACTCGTGAGATCCTCGGGCTCGGGTCTCCTTCCCGTTGCAGGGCGAGAGGGGAGTCCGAGTTCAGGTAGGTCTCGAGAACTCCCCTGCTTGATAATGTTGGAAGTAGATTGATGCTGTGAAGTGTATATGCTGTCAATTAAGATTAGTCAATTTACTTATGTTACATGTTTTTGGTCTGTGGGAGGAAACCGGAGAGCCTGGTGTAAACCCACGCAAACACGAGGAGAACATGCAAACTCCGCACAGAAATGCCGACTTGGCCAGGAAGTGTCCGAGCCGGTGACATTCTTGCTGTGCGGCCGTGGTGCTTACCACTCGGCCTCCGTGCTGCCCCTGACTAGGAAATGGGAGGAGTAGGGGTGGAAGGGGGGATTCTTCAAGACGAAGATGGCTGAAGTAAGATACTCTGGTTATTTATAGTGGTTAAGGAGTCGTCTGATTGGTAAATCAGTGTTAGCTAATGTGGACTAGGTGCTATCAATCATAAGCACGTGCTCCTCTCGAAATTAGTTTATAAATAAACCTCACTTAAATTTAACACAGATAAATTGTTTGCAACAATTTTGCAGACAACATTTTTTTCAGTGCATAATAAAAAATACTTTCATGCTGGAAAAAGTTTCTTATCTAAATCTCACAGAACTTTTGCAATAATTGGCAGGAGGACGTCTGCCGACACTGTGGTGAAATCCTCAGAAGCATGCCATGGTTAACCCTGAGCAAATACCTTAAAACTCTGTTACATTTAACCCTGCGTTACTTTGTGCCCTGCACTGTTTTTATTTCTCAGACACACTCTGTTATTTACAATTGAGCCTATTGATTTTCAGCATTACTACTCAAGACAAATAGATCTTCCTAATGTGTTAATTCATGTCTTAGATACAATTTAAATGGTTAAATAAACATAAAACAATACCAAACCCTTATTCCAGCCATAAAATTCTAATGGCGGTTGGCACAAATGACATTTGATACACATTTTCCTTTACTTGAGGTTGTGTAAAATGTCTGTTTGATAGTAAAAGCTGACATTTTATATATTACGGGATGCTTTGACTATGTGTTATTGCAAGATAAATGTGAAGAAAATCATAACATCACACCTTTATGTATTCAATTGATTAGTTTATTTCCCCAATTGAGAACAGTGTGAAAATTGATTTACTTAATAACTCAAAACAACAATAATCTCGAAGCACTGCGAAGATCGAGATGTGGTGGTATGAATCTGAACTGAACACCTGAATCACTTTTGAACATCAAGAAATAGCATATGAACAGCAATATCTCATGCAACAATTTTCCTTTTTTTTGCCATAACACAGTAGCAGCACCCATGAAAGAAATTAACATAAGGAAAAAAGTCAAAGAGCTCAAGCAAATGTTGTTCTCCGTTAGTGATGCTATTCATTCCTTTTTCGTCAGCTTAGTCCCTGTTTTATCCAAGGCCGCGGAATGAACCGCCAACTATTCCAGCATATGTTTTACACAGCGGATACCCTTCCAGCCGCAACCCAGTACTGGGAAACACCCATACACTGAAAAAAGTGTTGCATGCAGAACTGTTGCAAACAATTTATTTGTGTTGAATTTAAACAAACAAATTAAGTTT